AAAATTCGAATTTGACTTTTATTTTCTATGTAATAATAGTAATATAGATCATCATATTGTAAAAATCTTTTTAATAAATTGCCTGACGATGACGCTAGTATAGTATCGAAAGCTCGTAAATATAATGAAAAATTTCTTACATAGTTTCTTTTTTATTATTATTTTCACCTATTTTGTATTTTTAATTCTCTCGTCCAACAAACATTCTCAAGCTTAATCAAAAAAAACATCAATCAATTACTGTTAGTAAGTAAATAAGGAATATACAAAAAGAACTCGTTCAAGCTTCATATTTCTGCATCTTCGATTTCTTGAGTTTGTAATCTTACTCTTGGACTGTACTCGTCAAAGACATTGACAAATGATAAGAAAAATTTAGATTTCGAACATCGTAAATTTTCAAAAAACTTAAAAGAATAAAAATATGAATTGTTTATCTACTGTTATGTTTGATACATAGATACAACTTTTGATTGTCTTCTTATGATATGATCGTACTTTACTAACAACAAAAACTACTCTGATTATTCAATAACTATCAAATTGATTGTATTCTGACTTTTGAATACCAATTTTTTTCGAATATTGATTTTACATTATCTCTTCTTTGGCACTTCTTTACGATCCACACAACTTCTCATGCACATTCAGTACTTTGTTTTCAGGAATCAAATAGATTAATATATAATCATAACAATTAGTGAATGGAATAAGTGTATCTGTAGAAAAACTACGCATCCATTTAAAAATATAGTGCTTCTCCAAATCGACGACAATCTATACACTAATTGGTATAACTGGTAGAGTACATAAAAGAATCTGGATGCCGCAGTATTGTTGATCTCGAGAAGTATAAAAAATATTGTTTCCTAAGTTTTGGTCTGATTGACAATGGGCAATATCGCAGAGTCAGAATGAAGTTGTCGTCGGTCTGCAGCAGCATCTACACTTTATTGACGAATAACAATGTGAAATAAATGCAAAAAAAAAATTGGTGATAAAAAATATTGTCATCCAAAAAAAAACCATTAGATTAAAAACCTATAAATGCTAATACTGAAAAAAATGACCACCTAATCATTAATTATCAACATTTATAGTTTGACAAACAATAATAAGTATCATGAGTAAAATGTTACGTCACCCACATTTAATGTTCTATCAGATAAGAATGAGTTCCGATGTTTAACAAGACTAGTATTATGATGAAAATAAATGCATGTTTGTATTTACTAGAGATTGAATAACAAGTTTGATCAACACGTTTTTTTTTTGAAAGTTTGCTCATTTATAAATTGTTTATATTTCATGAAGAATTATTGATCGATTTAATTGTTACAGTGAACATTCAGTAAACAATGTCAAATTATTACAAGACGATTTTTTTTCCTATTCAGTCAATTCATAGGTTTTCAATGAATTCTATATGACACTTGATTATACTAGAATAGAATATTGATCGATCAAATTTATGTTAAAAATACATACTTTCGAAAAACACTTATCATTGTCATTCACATTATTCGATTGTTTCGTTTGATGCTCATTATCGTCTATTTCAGAAATTAATAGTAAATAGTTTCAAGAGAAAAAAAAGCAAATGATCGACTCAAAAAGATTTACTCTTCATTATGACATTGTAAGTTATTAGTTCTCAATTTCTAATTGTTTGTTTCTTTGTTCTTGAAATTATCACAAGTATAAGTATGCAATAGTATTTAGAGAAGATGATAGCTACACACACAAATCAAATGCAATATTAAACAAAAAGAATAGCATGATATTTCATCGATTGAATAGCAAAAAAGAATAAGATTAATTATTGCTGTCACTATTATCTTATTTCTTCATAGAATGAACCAGTCATAATGCTAATTGTTCATAACTATAACAATAGATGTGAGATGAAGAATTTGTTTTTTTTTTCTATTCGACATGACAATAAAATAATAAATGTATACCGTTCACACACAAAAAAAGGCTAAAATGAAGGATTATATATATATATATATATATGAATGTTGCCTCTTATGCGATTTCTTTCCGTTCGTCCCTTATCACATTTCCTTCGTGTGTGGTTGATTGCATCTGTTTAATGCTGCACACATTCCGTTGACGCCGCTACTGTAGTTGTCATCAACGTTTTCTTTCTACTCATATCCGTGTAGTCAATCGTAATAAAGGTGCTTTGTCTTTCTTTAGTTGCAAGGAAGAGAGGGAGAGAATGCGAGAAAGAATCTTTGTTATGATGAATGATGTCTCATTGGTAGCCGTTGTTTTTTTTTCTTAATCATTAGAATAAGAGATTACACCAAGTGTAATCAGTTAGAATAAGAAGAATTATCTTTGCATATACTTAAATATCCATAATAAAAAACTGATTAAACAAATGAGAGGTAATACGATTATTCAATGTTGTCTCGTCTATTCTACTAATGGTTAATTAGTATAAATTACTATCTGTTTCCTAATCTATCTTCTAAATAGTATATATCAAGCTGGTACTAAGCAACGAAAAAAAAAAGGAATTCAAATCTATGGAGGTTCCTAATATAAAACATGAAATATGGGAGTAACGTTTAGAGATAGAAATTATAATGAATTGTATTTCTATTCATTAGTATTGCATGTTTTCTTCCCATGAGTCGTGATTGCATGACCAAAAAAAATCAGTCAATTATAAAGATGATTTCTATTTCTATCGTTTACACTAGTTCATTTCTTCTCTCTAATAGGTATACTTGATTTTTACTATGCTCAAATAACTATAGAAGTTCTTTACATTTGCTTCTTAAGTATTGTGAAGAATAGGCTAATGTGCATTAGTAAGAAGAACATAAATATTAAAAAAAAAAAGATGCCTTTTTCTTTCTAATATAAGTATACTCATAGAAGTGACTCTTTATTAGTAGGACAGACGAGAGTGCGAAGAATGAAAAAATTGAATAGATCTTTTTTTTTCATGCATTGTATATATAGGAATGAGTAGAAAAATAGTATTTATAATCATGAATTTACTTTTTCTATAGAAGTTGCGCATATTTCAATTCGAATGATTTTGTAAATTGTTTGAAAATATTTTATTTTCATTAAATATGAAAAATTGAGTTGCGAAAAAAATATCTTATTATAATTTCGAATTAAGAAAATTCTATTCGTTATAGATTAATCGTAATATCTTTCAAAGTAGATATTTCTTAGCGCCTTGGCCAATTAATGTAGTTGTATGCGACAAGAGATAAGAGTAAGTGTTTGATTTTGAACTATCAAAGTTCATATTTAGGATTTTTTTTTAAAGATTTTGTTTTATTGTTTAGAAAGTTGAGGTTTTCCTGATTACAGAATGGGAGAAAAAAAGTTAAATTGATCAACAGCATGGTTGTACTTAACATTTTCTAACAGTCTAGTTCAATATCAGTACAAAAAAAAACAAAGTCCGATTGTATTTATTATAGCATAACTAAGAAGAAAAAACACACGTAATACTTTTGGAGCTGTATTTTTCTCAATCTTGGTTTTAATCTTTCCGTAATGCATGTTTCGTGATCAGTATTTTGTGCTAAAATAAATACAATTGGATACAGTTTTCTTTGCGCTCGTATTGAACTAGACTGACAGAAAATTATAAATACAACTAGATTGTTAATTAGTTTCACTCTCTTTTCTTAATACGGTAATAAGAAAAGTATCGACTTTTTAAACAATCAAATAAATTCCTAAAAAGAATCTAAATGAGTACTTTAGTAGTTATAGGTCAAACATTTGCTCTTATCTGTTATCACATAAAACTACATAAAGTAATCAAGACCCTAAGGAATATTTGCTTTGAAAGATATTGCGATTAATCTTTAACAAATAAAATATTCTCAGATAGTTTACAAAATAATTACAATTGAAATTTAGTAATTTTAATAGAAAAAATAAATTCATGATTCATAAATGCTATTTTCTTAATTATTCGAATTTCTAAAATCTTTTTTCCTCAGTTGAACACTGATAAAATAAAAGTCTATTGAAATTTTATATCTATCTGTATTTTAAGATTTATAATTTGTAATCATCATTTATGAATAAGAAATAGAATCGTATCATAAATGTAATTTATATAACTTCTTGTTATGTCGTATGTCATTGAACCGACGAGAATCAAGAGTACTTGATCAATATAGCGTATCTCTTTTGTAATATTAGTAAGTAAAGAGAGCAAATATTTGACAAAGTAAGTTGTGAATGCGACTTAAGATTATGTAAGATCTATTCATAGGACAATTGAAGCTCGGCAAGACGAGAAAAAAAAGCGGAAGTTATAAACAAATTGTACTCCAACCATCACTAACTACTTATTCGATGAGTGAAAAGTATTGCAAAAAAGGTCTTTTTATCTTCTTTTTCTTCACGAACACATAATAGCGCTAAGAACGATGAAGGACACCTGAATTAAGAACAAGTGCGTACGGACATATGTATATATATATATATATATGCATATACAAAAGAATGCCAAGGATAGGATAAAGAATATTTGTAAGATTATTTCTTCGGTATTTATTGATCGACAAATTGTGCTCTATAGAAGAAAAACATGAAAAATCAGTTACGGCAAATTAACTTCGAAATCGATCGTAGATTAAGCAAATGAACGATCGATAGAAACAGGACGAAGAGTAACGGAAGAGAAAAAAAAAGAAAGATAATATGTCTAGAGACGAGAGCTATATTGTCTCCGAGGAAAAAAGCACTCATTCTAATCAAACTGCCCTCTGTCTTTTCTATAGCTATAGAATTATCATACATAATGAAAGAAAAGAAAAAGATACGATACAGAAGATATTTGTAGTTCATGACAAAACATCTTTTTTGCCTTTCTTTTCATTTATCTAGCAATCACTAATATTATTATCATCATCATCATCATCATCATGTGGTGTTGATCTTTCAGTATACACAACAGGTCGTTTAATATCCTACTGTTGAATGAACATATCATTACAATTGAAGCTATGTTAGGCTCTTATCGATTACTTCTACTAATCAAACTAATACTGTTTGAATTACTTGGACTAAGTAAGCAAGTTTTTTTGTTTATTATTTTGAAATTTATATCTTAATTAATAAAAATGCTTTTCTTTTTTTTTTTGATTTAGAATGTATTGAAGATGATTCATTCCGTCGTTATCGTCGATTACGTTCTTCTATTAGTAGTAATAATCATAATTCATCTGTTAGTCCATTGATTTTTATTGTATCTGTGTCAGTCAATGATTATTTTGCTGTTATTAATTGTTCAACACCAGAACGTGTTCCTCATCATAAACTTGATTGGTATTTTCAAACACGTACTTCTTCAAGACCACCTCGTGTTATTTGGCAACGTGGTCGTTCAAATATTCATCGTTATATTGCTTATTCACCTGATCAAATTCGTCATTTTTTACAAATCAAACCTATTCATTATAATGATAGTGGAACATATATGTGTTTAGATCAAACTACGGGCTTTTATACTGGAATAGATCTTATTGTTCGTAAGTTTCTTAACTTTATTAAAGTCAATAAATATTTATTTCTTCATGATAGAGGATAGTCGTAATTGTGCACAAAATATTATTGGTTTACAAATGACAACATTTATTTGTTTTATCTTATTTTCATTAGTCTTACCACGATATTCTGCTAGTGAAAGTCAAGTAAAATGATCTTTTTTACTCGAAATTTTTATATATACATTTTCCGTCCATAAATGCTTTTGCTTTAATGGAATATGCAACCACAATTTACACTATGATAGACATCTAAAGGAATGAGTGTCTTCTTTTTTTTTTTGGTTTAAATATAATTATTTCTAAGATATAAACATTTGAATTCTCGATTGATATGTTAAATATTATCAATGAACAATGTCTAAATCATAAGAACAAAAATATAAATTTAGTGCAAATCATAAAATACATAATCATGAAATATAATATCGAAAAATAAGAAGATAGGAAATCAAAAATCAAAAATTAAAAATAAAACACAACAATATTTTATGGACAATTTTCTTTTTGAAAAGGAAGACTTGATTAGAAAAATAAAATGAATTTTTGTTCTTTTCTTTTTGACTAAGTTAATCAATCGTGCTTATTTTATAATCCAAGAGGTTTATCTATATTTGTATCATAATTTCGTATTAATTGATCTTGTGGAACAACACCATTTTCTTCTTGTGAAAAAGCAAATCCACCTAAAGACAAAAAATAAACACACACATACACGTAATTTATCTAATATTAAAATTCTTATTAATATATTACAATAAGGTTTATCAATAATTCCAGTTGATTTTGTTGCTTTTGTTCGAACAAAAACATTTTTTAATAAAGCTAATCGTTCAGTAACACGTGATACTGTTTTTGGTTGTCTTGACATAACTAAATCAGATGGATCTTGGTGAGCAACTTCTTTTTCTTGTACTTCTTGCATTAATGTTTTAAAATATGTTCGTTGGATACTAAAAAAAAACAAGTATCAAAAACAAAAGGAAATTTTTTTTATATCTTATAAATTTCTACCAATTATAAATAAAATCAGCTAATAATGTTGTTATTGGAATTAATATTAAACCAAACCAAAAGTATGGACTTGAAAAAACATATTGAGCCTTATAAAGAAATAAACTCAAATATCAATTTCGAAAATCTAATTTCTTTTTTTTTAATAATATTGATTTAACTTACCATACCACGCATTTCTGATGCAACTGGCAATGTTGGCCATACATAACTGTATGCAGAGAAAAAGATAAACCATGAAGCAATACTTCCCCAAATAGCAACATGTGTAAGCTAGTAATAATAATTTCATATGAGAAAAATTGATATTATTTAACTTACAGATGTCCATGAATCACTTTCGAGTCCTGCTTTAAGACAAACAACAAAGATGACGTACTAAAAAAAAATAAACATAATTTTCAATTTGTCTTCTATCAATAAGCAAATAGATTAGCAGCAAGGAACCAAAACATACGGTATAAATCATATTGCCTAATAGTAGATAAGTACCCACTTGTCCGTTGCGATATGCAACGTCTATAGATAGAGAACAAAAAAGAAAGAAGAAAATGATGAAGTAACGTGCAATGATTTCTATTCATATGTTAGGATAAATAAAAATGTGCATTTTAAAGGTTAGAAAAGCGAATATTCGTATTCTTAGGTCAACAGATAGATTGATATTAGTACAAAACAAACACAAAACCTAAATTTACAGTATAAATGCAGTTGCCCAAAAATAAATGATTGCCAAGAACAATCCCACTAGAATGTGGAACATCTAAATAATATAAATTTGAATTTGCTCGTTTTTTTGTTTTGTTCTAAATTTATGTCTCTCGTAAAAAGAAATAATATAATCAACATACCATGTCGAAGCATAAAATATGACATAAAATAGAGAACAATGGAATGATAGACTGCATTAAGACACCAAGTCCAAAAAATCTATCAAGTAAAATAATTTTTATGCTTTTTTTATCAAAAAAAATACTAAAAAATTTAATCAAACTTTAATATTAAAATCTGATCGATTTTGTGACATTTTATAAATAGCTGGAAAATGCATCATTGTTTCTGCACTACAACTACGATCTAATAATCCAAGTGCCATTGGTGGTGCTGCAGTAAATATTACATTATAGATAGCAATTGTCCATCGTTCAAATAAAATTTGACCAGAAAATGCACTATGAAACGCAAACCAAAGCTAATAAAAAGAAAAAAAAGTCTCATATTAATATAATACTCTTAACAATTAACTAACCTCCATAACATAAAGACAAATATTTTTATAAAATGAATAAAGTATTACTTTACATAAACGACGATAACTCCATACACCATGAACAAATAATAGTTTAGTTAAAAATCTAAATTGACCAATAGTATAATCTGATGCACATGCTGCTTGAACACCCTCACGACCTAATATTCCAACACCTACATGTGCCATCTAAAATCAAAGATATTTATTAGTTTCGATCTTGATTTCGCCAAACTATACTCTTAATGAAGTTTTCTAATTTCAATCTGACAATTGCTCCGAAGATATGCAATAGGGATAGTATGGTAATGATAATTAGTACAACGATAACCGGTCTAACGGTGATGACCAATATTCTGCTTAATTTAGATTTTTTCAACCTCTTAAAGGAGGGACTTCTGGCTTAGGAATCATGAATCAACCTTTTAGAAGTCCAAAAATTAAGTTTGAGCGGAGAAAATTGACATTTTGTGGAACTCACGTATATTTTCGAAGAAAATAGTGAGTGTAAGTTTTAAGTTCGAAGTTTGGCGGCTCCTCACCCTCTCTTCCCCTTACAGACAGGCCCCCATTACACTAATGTACACTTCAACTTTCAAATATTTGATTATTTTGTTTCAAAAAAAAGCAATGAATAAGCAATAGATAAAACGAAATCATCTCACAACTTACACCGTGAAAGATTTTAGTATCTGCAAAAGATTCTCTCGTTAAATTATTTCAGCCGTTTCTGTTCGATATGATTGTAAATTCTTAGAAAAGTCGTTAAGCATTCATCTACGTTTCTCATTAGCGAATTTAAGTTTAGTAGTGAGTATTTTGACGAAAAATACCGTTGAATTGTCATCATTAGTTCAGTGGAAAAGATCGTAAAATCACTTAATTAGATTTCATCAACACACAGTGCATTGAAATTGCACTACTTTATTCTTCAAACATGTACAGGTATCGAGATTTTTTGGCATTGCGCAGTTACCCAATTTCCATCGTCCCGTGGCTACGCCACTGTCATTAGAATCTCATTTTATAGGAAAATGTTTGCTGAATTTGAAATAATTTTCACTTCTATTTCAAGAAATTTTTAGTGCGCTAAAATTTGTTCACACTTAATTTACGGACATTGTAAAGTTCGACTCATAGCTCCTGAACCTGAAGTCCTAAACAAAAATTTGAATCCATATTCAAAAAAGAACACAAATTTCTGAAGATTCCTTTGAAAGACTGAAAAATCCGTGAATATTTTGTCATATCACTTTTCGATTACAGAAAATCGACTTTTACTATATGTTTTTAACGTGTTTATTGGTTTCAACGTTAGACCGATGATTGATCATCACCATTGTATCGCTCAGACAGCATCCTTTTTTCCAATTATTTATATTCAGTGTCTAGTACATTCCTCGGACAATCTTATAATAATCAATTAATAATTGTCTCTTACTCTATATATAATTATTCTTACCTGAATCATGCCTACATCATTAGCACCATCACCAATAGCTAATGTAATTGCCTCTGTTGATTTTTTAACAAGCTCAACAACTTCTGCTTTCTGTTTTGGACTAACTCTACAATTAAATATTTCTATTCGTTTGTTTCATTCTATTCGATTTGAAAATTTATCTTACCGACAACAAATAACTGTTTTACATGACATAGCTACATCAAGAAAATCTTGACGACATGAAGCATGTAAAGCATATTTAAGTGTTTTTCCTTCGATAACTAATGAAGCAGGATTTTCTTTACGTAATGAATCACCAAATTGTTGACAATGTTGACGTAATTGTCTTTGTGTATCCTATCATTTAACAAACTATATTCAAAAGGAAAAAAACAAAAGAAAATAATACAAATTTACATCACGAGTTGTTTCATCTAATGTTAAATTAAGCATTTGATCGGATAAAAGTTTACATGAATAACCAATATTGACTGCAGTCTCTTTTTTATCACCTGTCAATACCCAAATCTAAAAACAAAACTACTTTAAATAGAAGAAAAAAAAAAAGAAAACTTTTTATATTTACTTTAATACCAGCTCGATGTAACATAGTAAGACTTTGTGGAACTTGCTATAAATTTTAAAATAAATATATAAATTAAGAAAAATTTTAAAATCTTACATCTTGTAATTTATCTTCAATTCCAGTTGCACCTAATAAAATTAAATTTTGTTCAATTCTATCAGCTACTTCAGCAACTAATTCATTTCGATTATTTATTGCTGTTGATGCTTCTCGATATTTTACTAACCATTCCTATTCATTAATTAAAACAAAAAACAAAAAAAAATAAAACTTCTCGTTAATCATATTTACATTATATTCTTCATTAGTTAACATTCGATAAGCAAGACATAATGTTCGAAGACCATCATTAGCAAAACTTTCTAAATGTTCAGATGTTAATTGTACACTATGATCATTTGATCCAAGACGTTCCATTATAACACTATCCTAGAAGAGAAAAATCAAAGTTTTCTTTAGAAATTCGGATCAATACAATTAAACTTACAGCGCCTTTACAATATAATTTAATTTCGTTACGAGATGTTTGAATAATTACACTCATTCGTTTACGATCACTTTAAAAAAACGAGATTTTTATTAAAATGAAATTATATTTAATAATTTACCTGCTAAATTCCAAAACATTTAAAATTTGATATTCTTCTTTGTTACCACGCTAGAAATACAAAAAAATAGATTAAAGAACAAACAAGAAGAGTTTTTTTTTTGTTTTCTTTATTTACAAAATTAATAGTCACACTCTCTGGTGTACGACTAAAAAAAACAACACCCATTTGTTTCATTGCTGTAACTAATGCATATTCATCTATAACAATAATATAAATGATTAAATTTTAATTTAATTTAATTTAATTTTAACCTGGTGATGATGCTTGATAAAATACATCAGTTGGTAAATCTGTATGCGTTTTATTTTCTGGTACAACTGTATGACATGTTGCTAGTAATGTTAGAAATTCACGAATTTCATTAGATGTATTCTAAAATAAAATAAAATAAAAAATATTTCATAGTTAGCGTTTTAATTCTAGTAGAGATGTTCATCGTAGCTGAAAACTTGATTATATATCTCATCTCCGAATCTCTTTCTATGATCTCTATCAATAGTCTTCGTTTCGATGATTTTTCTTATCAGTGATCATTCTTTTCGTTCATGCTTTAGATATATATAGAGAGAGTGACTATTTAACAATCATGTGCGCGCTATAGACTATGTCCTAGTCTTGTGTTAGTATCCAAGCGAATTATTACCGGTCAAAGTTCTTCTACATTGAACACTGATTATTACACTTATACAAAAGATGTCATTATTAAATTAACTACTTTTAATTGATTTCCTAAGTTAAGTTAGGAATTAAGTTACTAACTTAATGTACTAAGTAGTCTCACTCACAACAACTATTAAGTATAATTAATATCAATGTTAGAAATGGAAACTACGACAAAAAAAAGCTGTCTCGATCAGAACTAAAGATTATAACGGATGGCCCATAATGAATGGCCGATTTTTGTACTTCTTTTTTTTCTATCATGTAGTATGTTTATTTTAAAGACAGAATGTACTATACGATGCAGGGTGAAAAGTTCTACAAGTTACATTAAAAGGCTTATTTTAAATATGCATGTTTTATTTTCAAAATGGACAGAATTCTGTGCGACTAATTTTCGATGCTGCGAATAAGATCATTGATCGATACACAAGAAATTCCTTTTCTCATTTCATCAAATAATGAATCATATTTTTTAACTTTATTCCATTACATGTTATTGGCAATAGCGTGTCAAATATAACAATCCAAAACGTTGAGATTGAGACCATGTAGTGACCATGTATGATTGTTTATGAAGTGTATGAAATTTCTTCGCATAATGCCAATGATTCTTGATGTTTATGCAGTGTGGTTTTGTCCCGTTGATAGATGAAATCATCACTGAGTACACGTTAACTATCAGCTTGTGTATGTGAAAGAACAACTTCAATATAACTTTCATGTGACAATGTTTCACCAGGTTTAAACATAATTGAAGACGTAAGGTCATGGTCAGAAACTCCTAACCAGACCATCATTTTTTTGTGGATATTTAGCCTTTTGATTTACGTCACTCCGCTCCTCTGCCTCTTGTCGACTTAGAACATAAGCACGTTCTAGTGATAAATTTTTTTCATCAGTAATAGAATTGTCTTTCATCAATCAGCTAAAAAAGCAGATTGATCGTTTACTAAAAAATGATTATGTTCACAGCGCCGAAAATTCTTCACACAGAACTTTGTCAATTTTGAATACAAAACGTGCATATATAAAATAAGCTATCCTTTGTAAATTGTAGAGTTTTCACATTGCATTTTATAGTATACTTTGTTCATAGCATAAAAATACGAGATGATAAAAATGAAGAAATACAAAAATTGGGTATTCATTATGGGTGACCCATTAGTTAAATATTCTATGGCTTTAAGCGAATTATTTTATAAATCATATAAATCAATAATATAATTCAAGAAAGATGATGATCCAAAAATAGTGCTAGTCATCAACTAAGTAAATCAAAAAAACTAGTATTGAAGACTTTGTTTTAGATGTAATGCAAATAAATTCTATAGTAGTTTTTTCAAAAAACTTGATTCCACACATCTCTAATCGATACACATTATATTAGAATGTTTCTAATACTGCAAGTATGATCTCAGATTGTCGTCGATAGTTTCAGTCATCGAAATGAAACTTGCTGAGAGTTATATTATCGAATTTCAGTAAACTACATAGTGATTGAAAACTTATCTCTACTTCGATGGATATTTCTAAATTCTACTAAAAAATATTCTCAAATGAAAACTTACATGTTCTTCTAGATTTTTAAGTAATTCATAACTGTTAAATTCACTTAGATTTCCTGATCTAAAAAAATATAAAAGATAAAATTCTAAAATTGACTCATGCTTTGTTTTTTCAACATACCCATACATAATGCCACCAATAGAACACTGTTTAAAAACCATTTCATTTTTTGTTAATGTACCAGTTTTATCCGAAAAAATATATTTAACCTATTTAAATCAATAAAAGAAAAAAATAATATTTTAAAAGAAAATTTTCTTTACTTGACCAAGTTCTTCATTTAAATTCGATGTTCTTGCACTTGCTGGTGTATCTGTCTCTGGATCATACATATCTCTATCCTAGAAAAAAAAGAATTCAAATATAAACTATTATTCTTTAATCAATATACCCAATTAATAAAATAAGCTTGAATAAATTTGACTAGATCAACTGTTATTTGTAATGAAATTGGAATTAAATTGTTAAATAAAATAAAAAATGTCAAAAATGTATAACCAATATGTTGCCATGCTAAAAATCACAAATAAAATATCATTCAAAAAAAAAAAAGCAATTGATAATTTTTAATTACTTCCTCTATTTTCATCAAGATTTAAACCAAGATACCAATGTTTTTCTTTATTTTTGGAAGTCCATATTTCTTCAGCCATTGTACTGAATACACATAAGATAATCAATAAAAGAAGTAGAAATAAAATCTATAAATCCGAAACAAAAAGAAAAAAGATAATTTATAAAAGAAATTTTAATATATTCATAGTTACTTGTTTATTCGTCACTTTTTCAACATGTGTTTGTTTAAGAGGCACAGAAGATGAATTCTAAAAAATCAATCAATTTAAAAAGAAACTTTCTTTTGTTGTACTTATGAAACACGATCTCAATAGAGTGTTGAAATATAGAGGTAAAAATTTAGATCCTCCCGGCTCCGTCACAAACTGTAACAGATGCTGATGATATACGATCAAATACTGTATGTCAAAATACATAGAATAAAGAACTTTTTCTATGATTAGCAACAATAGCTAAATCGTGTTTCACATATAAATCCCTCACGGATTATGTTAACAGCTTTTTTTTAAAACTTTCTAAACTAACCATCATTAATTTGGTCTCATGTCCACTATAAATAACAATTCCATAAATCCATGTCGTATTTTTTAGTTGTGAACCACGTAAAAGTATTTGATCAGCACCTAATGGTATAGGATAAGCAGCACTATTGATTTTTAAAGTTCCAGCAAATTCATATAAATTTCTATTTGGTAATTCACATTCAACCGTTCCTTGTAAATCTTTTAAGTCTAGACTTGATTTTATATGAGCAGTTTGTGGTAAACCCTATAAGAGATATTAATATTTGGTTTTATCTTTCAAAAAAGAAAAAGATAACAAACAAACAAACCTGTCGAACTTTAAGATTTGTTTCTCCATCAAGATTTGATGTTTGAATATAACATATTGAATTTGGTTCACTAAAAATTCAATAAAATTAATTTTAATAAAAATAAAGAAAAAAAATTAATCATACATACCCAGAAGAAATTAAAACAAGATCAGCTGGAAAATATTCTTTATCAATAACTTTAGCAATATCACCAACTTTAACTTTGTGCCATGCTGTAAATATCCAAGTTCCTTGTCGATAAACTAAATCAAACATATTTAATTAAATTTGTAAAAAAAGAAATGAAAACAAATTATATTTTACTTAAAACTTTTCTCCGATTGACGGCATCATCTTGTATATGTCGTTTCTAAATAATAATAAAAAAAGGTTTCATCAAAAGAAAAAAAATCAATAAAATAAATTAAACTAACCACATCTTCAATAATTTCTTTAATTGCAGCACAACAAAGAATAAATGTTAATGGAACAGCTGTTGTGTATCTTCCTGTTGGTGATACACCGGGTATTTGCTAAAAAAAATTTATTTTAATAAATTTAAAATATATTTGTATAAGTATGTTTTCAATGTACTTGAAATATAACAATACAAAGAAAAAATATATTTGAATATTTTCGAAATTGTTCAAAGAGAAATTTAGGTAAAAATGTTAATATAGAATATTTGCTTGTACTAATACGATTTGATATAAATTTAGCTGGTTGTGGTCCACTATTAATTGTTATTATTCGTTTTTCATCATTATTAGGAAATGTTGAATTTCTATCACCTCTAAAAGAGTCACCTATTCGACGAGATAAACGTTTTATTGAAGTATTTTGTCCCATTAAATAAGTATTGAATATCAATGAATTAAATGATAAACTAGAATTTCGATTTAAAGATAATAATTGATAGAAAATAAAATTGAGGAAAATCAAATGAGATATCAAAATCTAAAACCAAAAATAACAATGAGTGCAGTTTTTGTTTTCTAAAGATATGTTCTGAATATCGAAAGAAAAGAAAAGGACCCATTAAATAAAGAAAGTTAATACCATTTCAGATGTCGCATTACACCGACGTTGTTAATACATATGTTTATTTTAAAAAAAAAATTTTCATTTTATTCAGAGGATAATTATTCATTTGTAATTTGATCTGTCTTTTTAATGCTAATAATAATTAGAAATTATTTATTTGAATCTAATGTAAGCTAATTTAAAGACTCTATGCAAAAACAGAAGATAAAAACCTGTCATTATGATTAGTATCTGGTATAGATAACGATGATATGAATGAATAATAGTTTTATGTAAGAACTTGATCATTAGATTTTTATGTGCATTCATAGCATAGATGTTCATCGTGGCCAGGAATCTGCCACTGTCGCGATGAGATGAACTGTAAAAAGAAGTTGCCGCTGTCGCGAGAATGTAGATATGGATATCATCTTCACCAACACCCACACCCAAAAACACTCCACTCTTACTTCTTAAAGGGAAGCTCAAGAACATGACTCTTAGGTTATCTCTAACCCAATATTTCGTACTACATTTGGCACCAGTTAGTAGATGACGTACGAGTGACTTTCTTACCATAATTTTGCGACCTACACCTAAAAGCCCTTGAAAACCTGGGACAACTAACGCTAGATGTCTCTTGAACAGTTAGCAGCACCCGATACCCCTTACCTAGATAGTCCTTGAAGAGTGCCAGAACTATCCCATGAGAATTTAACAATACCAAATCTCAATAGCCCGTGGTGATTTATGGGTACTGCTCACGGATAACGCTTGAAAATTTATGGGTAGCTCGACAGAAAAACTCCTGAGGACTTATGGATACCCCCACAGAATAGCCTTGAAGGCTTATGGGTACCCCTTAGGATAGTCTTTGAGATCTTATAGATATCCTCATAGCATCGTTCTTTCGAACTTATGGGTACCTCTATAGGATAGGCATTGAGAGCTTATGGTTACCCTCATAGGGCGTTGTTGTAAGTATGAGTATTTCTCTTTTAAGATTCACCCACATCCATACCCTCAAGACTAGAGATACATTGTGTTGTTTCGCTGTAAATCTATGCTGACTGAAAAGACAAAATATTATTCATATATAAGAGAGATTTTCTATCTATTTCAATAGCTTATAAATTGAATACAAATCAATCACAATGCGCTGATTTTTATTCTTGAAAGGAAAAAACACATAACAATAAAACAAAAATGAAGAACAATTATTTTTTTTTGCTTTTCTTATTACTAGTATTGAACATAATTATTTTATTTATGTGTTTCTTTTTACTAACATTTTTCTCATGATCATTGAAGACCGCCAATTGCTTTTCAAGTTTATCCACAGAACGTTGACTAAGTAAACCCTTTGATATCAATTGTTTAATTAAATCTTCAGTTTCATTAAATTCATGTCCACGTGTTTCTGCTTGTGTTTTTAATGCATTTAAATATGAATGTAGTACTTTATGCGTATTCATAGCCAATGTAGTGGAAAGTTTTTCTTCTTCTTGTTTTTCAACTTTATTATCTTGAACAGATATTGTTGATGAATTTCTTGTATGAATATCTAATTCTTCTTCTAATCCAATAATTGATCGTATTGTTGCTGTATTAGATGAAGATTTATTTATTGGTTTAATTTCTTCAGTTACAACTGCAATAGCTTCAGCTGTTTTTTCTGTATTTGATGTTGTTACAGCAACATCTTTTGCATCTTCAAGACGATTTGTTCGATGTATAAGTTTAACAATATTTTGTACACCAGCATGAATTATTTGATCAAGTTCAGCTTGAATACCACGAATTAATTCTTTATCAGGAAACATATCAGCAAAACGAAAACTAAAAAAAACAGAACAACAAATCTACATGAAATAAATGAATGATTGCTAAATAGATATTAACCTGAGCCATAAATAAAGATCTAGACAATCGAAAACTTCTTCTAAATGTACTAAATCCATAATTGTATTTGGTATTTCAAATGGCCAACCTATTTGTTTTGCAAGCCAATCAAATGTTGTTGGTTCACTACGACTAAATTGACGTGCATACTTCAAAATAAAATTGAAATCAAATATACTTATGAATTAAAAAAAAAAAAAAAGAATATTTTACTTTCAAAAACATAGTACAAACAAATGGCATTTTTTTATTAATTGGAGCACATGAAAATGTATAACGAGCACGAAGTGGTAATGGCACATGTTCAATAATATCAGCAAGAAATTTAACATCTTCAACATTACACATAAAAAAAAGACTATCATCTAATTGTGATAAAACTACAAATATATCCTAAATAAATAAATAATTTTGTTAGATAAATCAATTTTATTAAAAACATACAATTAAACTTGAAAGTGAATGCTTAGGTAAATGATAGGCAAACATTTCAATTTGTTCAGCTGTTGGATGAAGTCCAGCACGCTAAAATACATAGAAAATTCAATAAATAAAATTAATTTTTTTATTTGAAAATGAATACTTTAATTGTTTCTACTTGTCGACTAACAATATCTTTCAATAATAGTAGATCATCACGTCGAAATGTTGTTACTTCACCATCTGGAAAAGCACTTGCAAATCTAAAAATGAATATAGATTAAAAATATTTCATGATTTCATCGAAATTTATTTAACCTTCCAGCTCGACCAGCAATTTGTAATGCTTGAGATGTTGTCACTGTATCTTTTTCTTTTTCTCCTTGTTCATTTAATTGTGGTTTTAGAAGACTATAGAAAATAATACGTTTAATACTCCTATAAACAAAAAAAGAAAAAAATAGTTCAAATTTTAAAACAAAACTTATAAACATACAAATTTAAACCCATGCCAATAGCATCTGTGGCGACCATTATTTTACATGGATCATTTGGATCATTAAAACGTTGAGCTTGTAATAATTTCGTACCTAATTGAAATTTGAATTTTTTTTTATTTTTATAAAATTAAAATTAAAAGATAATTAACCTGGTGGTAATGATCCATAAATAACAGCTACTTCATGACCACGTCTTTCTAATTCACGTGTTATATGAAATATATCATTTTTACTGAAGCATACAAAGCAATCGCCCGATTTGACATTATCGAATGTTTCTAAATTATTGCTAAAAAGCGTAAGTTAGTCAATTCGTTCTATTTTAATTTAATAAGATGACAATATCAAATCTCCAAAACAGACACATTCAACATATTTAATGTTGCAAAAAAAAAAAATAAAACATTTTATAGAATAGAATCATTTCTACGTTAAATACAAACAAATAGGTAATATTTTAAGATTTCGAAGGAATAGCTGTTAGCGCAACCTTTGCAGAATTAAAATGTAAAACATGAAGTAGGTGCGGTTGCTAATCACAGGAATAACGTTGTGAATTTCTTCTTTACCCCTTTTAGATTGTGTTTAATAAAATCAGTATGATGTTGAGAATAAGTATGCAAATATGCATCAAAAAGTCTATGTGTCATTGGAAGAAATTCCACAATTAAATTTTACTACTTCTACTCACCCTGAAATTTTATACTCTATTATCTACATGTAAAATTTTGATACTAGTGTGTTTTTTTGATATGTTGAATCCGAATCCGATGTTTATTTTTCATCGAAATTTTAAAAAGTCTAACCAATTTTTTGTATTTAACTTGAATATGATTCTATTTTTAAAATGTTCATTGTTTTCTACTAACAATAAAAAGCTTCTAATGTTTGATTTGGCGATCTCACATAATCCATATTCAAAAAATAAATAATAGAAGAGGTATATTACCTAATGCTCGATCTTGATAATTTAATTTAGTTAATCGTTTATATTCTCTAATTTCTACTTGATCACCTGTTGTGACCATTAAATCCTCTACAAGTCGTACTGTAGATTTTTCACCACATAAATGAATTTCTTTTGCTTGTAGACCTAATATAAATGAAAATAAAAAATTCAATAAAAAAAAAAAAAGGATTTTTTTTATGTTACCAAGTAAAGCTCGTGTCCATGCCCAACCACGTTGTGGATCACGCATCATTTGAATTTCATCAATAACAGCTACCTCATCTATAATAAAAACAAAATATATATATCAAAAATTAATCTACACAAAATTTTATTTTATTTACAAACGTTAGTTAAATTCGTCATTTCAACTGTACATGCTACATGATTAGCTGGTTTTCCTTCAGGATCAGCAAATCGACGTTCTTCACCAGTAACCAAATCACATTTTGTACCCTACAGAAAAAAAAAACTTCTTTTTTTCCATGAAAAAAATCTAATAAAAATCTTTACTGCAGCATTAGTCTTATAAAAAACTTCAGATGCTAATAATTTTAATGGTCCACAATAAACTCCACTTTCACTATTCATATAACTTTGAAGTGCATGATATGTCTAGTAAAGAAAAAATCAACGAAAAGATTTTATTTTATCTTCTTTTCTTATTTACAAATCATACTTTTCCACTATTTGTTGGACCAGCATGAAATATTATTTTTCTTTGTATAGCTCGTGCATCTGGATACCTAAAATATTGTTTTATTTCATTAAAAAAAAAACATTTGAGCTATTGAAAAATATTTTTTACCAATTAGCAGGATCTCTAAGATCACTAATCTTTTTCAAATCTTCCATACATGTTAAATGTGGAAACATTTCTCGTGCATGACGTAAAAAATAAGGAAATATATCTGTTACATGACCTTTTCAAATATAAAATAAGATGATTCGAAGAAAAACAAAAGAAAATCTTATACCAGATCCAGATATAATATCACTCAACACAATATGTAAATCAACAGGTAAAACTGTTGATTGAATACAAAATTTTCGAAAACTAACATAAGCATCTTGAAAAAGACGATTATCAAGACCTTGATCAACAGCTAATTTTTTTATTTCATCACGACGATAAAAGTCTGTGATGATACGAAGAAGTACATCTTTAAAAAAAACAAAAACAACAAATATTCTCTTTTTTTCTTATAAAATTGAATTTTCGATTTTATCATACTTCGTTCAAGTGTTTTACCACCGGTTAATTCTTCACCAACATTTGTATCTACAATTTTTGATGATGTTGGATCAAGTTTATCGATAGTAGTCATTGGTTTAACATCAATTGGTTGAAAAAGTCGACGTAATATATTTGTTGGATTATGTGTTTTATTAGAATGTGTTCGATGATGATGATGAGAATGATGATGATGATAGAATGAAGATGATGATGTTCGTGGTCGTTTATTATTACTATGACTTGATGTTGATGATAATTTAATAGAATATTCAGTGAGAATAGATGAATGTGATAATAAATGTCGATAGGAAACTGTTAGAAACATTCTTTTATTTATAGATAACATATTTAATAATCTAGAATAGAAGAATTAATTAATAATCTGTTTAAATAATAATTTAATACGTGATAGAACAATTTCATTTGTTCCTGAAATGTTTTCATGTTTATATGGAGAATTAATTTGAACAATACCATTTTGTATTAAAAGTGTTATAGAATTATTTTCTTCGAGTTTTTCTTGAAATGGTATTCGTTTTGATGAAAGAAATTTACGAATTTTTCCTAAACGATCACATATAGATTCATCTTGATTATCTATTGTTGAATTTGATGGTAAAAATGGATCTTTATTCAGTTGATGAGAAATATTTCGATCAAGAATTTTCAATTGAATAATATCAGGTCGTAGAACAATATGAACACGATTTGATGTATCATCGATTAGAACGATACTTAAAAGAAAAAAGAAGAAATATAATATATTGCTAAATTTCCGTAAAAATCATCAAGAGTTGATCTTAGTTGGAAATGTCGAAAAGAAAATGGAAATGTATAGCAAGAAAATGTTTAATAAATTGATTTCCATCAGTCTCGATGTTTTGTACGATTCAATGTCTGAATTAGAACAATGTCAAAGTACTATTCTTTAGTTTGTATATACAATGTTAGCTTTTCCTTAGATTAGTTCAGTCAAATATTCAGTAGATTTTACTTTGAAGATCTCTGAGAGAAAAATGCAGTGTTTTATTCATTGCTTGTAGGACTATGTAATTCTCCTATCGAACGTATTTGTTCGCTTCATCGAAGATTCAAATTGTTCCTTCAAAGAGAAAAGTCTGAATAAAAATCGAAGGAAGATAGAAATTAGTTCCTTGCAGTTGAATATTTCTTTTAGTTTACTTATCATAAAAAAAATGAAAATGAAAATGATAGTCAATTAGGTCTATTAATTGTATAGAAGGTTTTCATAGATCAATTATGGTACTATCTATCAAACAAAATGAAGAATGTATGTGTCAGACTAAATCATCATATGGATAAAATCTCAAGAATATTGTTTGTTTAAAAAGTTATTGTGAACTGTTGCCTCCAAGATTATTCTATGATCAATGAGAATATCGGATAAAATTTTTTGAACATTTTTGTTTTGATAAATATAATTCCATTATAAAACTATCTTTAGACGGACGATTTGTATCAACATTTCAAATAATGTCAAACACTGCAAATTTTTCAGAAAGTAATTTCTCAAAAATTTTTCGTGAAACTTTAAATCATCTACTATCTTTTGCAGTGTCTGACACTGTTTCGAAAGAAAAAGCTACTTATTATAGAAAAATGATAAAGAGCTTACATGAACATCGTTATCAGATAGTAGCTCATCTTCTGCTCGTTTTCATTTACGTGGATTTAGTTCTTTTGAAACAGTTATGAAGAACAATACAACTCAATCAAAAGATTGCCCTAAAATATTTGTCCAGTATTGTACTTTTGAAAGAATGAACTGATGCTTCTTTACATAATGATCAGAAATCCTGGGATAACATCATGCTCTTGATCCCTGCCATGGATAAAATATAAAAGTTTTGTTCTGTTAACTTCTGAAAATTTTCGTTAAACTTCAGATTTTCATCAACTTCGTTCAACTAGACTAAAAATCAATATAAAAATAATTGTCTTTCAAACCTTTGTGTTAATGGATCGACTGTATAAACTCTTCCTGAATAATTTCGTTGACCAATACATTCAATTTGAACTTGATTATCAATCAATGTTGCATAAGTATCAACATCAAAATGGAATGCTTCATTTAATAAATTATCCATAAGGAATATTATTTCTAAAAATAAAAACAAAATAAAAATAGCTATTATTTTCTTTTCTTTTATTTATTTTTTTAAATATCAATCAGCATTTTTTTTTCATTATCGAAACACTACAGATATATTCCTCATCAGTATAAATATTTTTGGCATATGCTGAATTCGCACATTGATCTACATTAATTTTTTTTTCTGTTATGATTCATCTAAATCTAAATAAATTAGTAAACCAGTTATTTTCATTCGTGCATATGGTATTAATAAAAGTATTAAGCCAATAATAGTTGCATATGCACAATTTTCCTTTTTTCACCATCAATAATAACTCGTAACATTCGATATGAAATCATACCTAATAATCTTTAGAATTTCCAGTATTTTTATTAAAAAAAAGAACATTATATTTTAAATACCTCCAACAGTATAATATCCAGGAAGAATAGAATCAGCTCGCTGTTGTTTTACTTCTTTTTATCTCATATTTTACTAACAACAGCAACATAGATCCATTAATAACACAACTTAAATCAATTTTTACAACATCATCATCTTTTAATATGTTATCGAGTTCAGATTCTAATGGACTATAGAGACATATATAATTATTTACAAATAAACATGTTGTGTTATTTCTATTGTCATCTTCTATTTCGTAACGACAAGATCAATAGCATTGGTTTCATCTTATATGATCTTCGATGCTGATAGTATTAATAAAAAGATATTCGTAAAAAGAATTCTAGGAATTACAAAAAAAATTGTTTTAGAACAAACTTATGCTATGAAGGTGCGAGAGCTGGACGGGAATCAGCCTACTGCAGAAAACTTTGAGCATACTCAAGAAATAAAACGATCTCATATTATAGGTGAAGAAAATACTTGCTTTTCAGCGTCAAAGAGAGAGCTCAATTCCTCCTAGAAATTTATTCTCATTCTGGTACCAGTTCTATGAAAGATGTTGTGTAGATTCGACACGAGAGTGATTGGCAGATCTGAGAAATTCAAGTTCTGAGAAAACTGAACCGATTTTCGTTTTTTTAAAAATAGATTAAGTGAATTTATAATCCGTTTGAATGTTATATTCGTGAAATTCTAATAACATTGGAGAATATATTTGATTGGTGGGTGTAGAAACCAATGAAAATCAAACTAAATCAAATGATGAAAATTTTACAAATGTTGCATTAGAAACTACTGACATCAATGCATTACTCAAAAATCATATGATTGTAAATACTTGTTGAAAAGTTCTGAACTCTTTTCTAATAATTTTCTAGTTTAATTGATGCCGTCGATAACAATGAAGAAATTTATATTACTGACAAACGAAATAATATTCATAGAATGAATAATGTTGAAAAAATGTATTTAATTGCTTTCAGGTGTATCCTATGCTGGTATGGCTCAATAAACACTTATAGTTATTGAAAGGACCGAGAAGTTACGAAAAGGTCAAAATAAGATTCATTGGTGCACAAATAAGATTTAAAGTGAATTGAATGTTTTCTACTGTTCATCTATCTTCGTTTAATACATAATCATGTAATATAATATATCTTGGTATCGTAGAGCATCAGCCAACAAAATATAATATGATGCATTTCAGACTATTTTAAACAAAATTTTTCAAGCTACTATAAATACGGAGATCGAAATAGCTGAATATCTGATAATAAAAAAGCTATTTTTGCTGAATTGATTAAAGTCATTCTGTGTCTAACCTTTGTATCATAAAATGATTTATTTTTATCAACAAAAACATGTGGCAAAAATGCTATGAAAGTGATCAACTTCTTAGACATAATTTTGATTTCCCAACGTTTTGCAGGATTGATGTGAGATACAAGAAGGTTAATTTTATAGTAAATGAATGAAAATTAAAAATACAACTCTTGTTGTTTGTAAAATTCTGAGTACTCTCAATATTTGATTATATCATAATATTCAAAAACAACATTCAATATGAACTTACTTGTTATTGCTAAATCCCATTTTTTGCCTTTAAAAGACGCTTCAATGCAAAAGAAAGGTAAGTATTACGATCAGTGTGTGAAAACTTGTTCAATAGCACATGAGCCAATATATTGTTTACGGAAATATATTTTTTCGACAACAACAGCTAAGAGTCCTCCAGAAGTATCGGTCGTGGAAGGATTTCTTTCAAACCTATAGTTTGTTTTCTTCGATATGATTTTCTGAGCAATATATGTTTACTTTTGAGTGATGAGAATCTCTTCTCGAACATAAAAGTGGTTCTCTGTGATGAGATTATCTACAGATAGTTGTAAAGTTTTATCTTGGAACCAAAGAATGAAGAAAGGTACTATATATTCTTCAATATAAGAATATAGTCGATAAAAAATGAGAAAACCATCAGATGAAAATAGGAGAGTATTACGTTTCTACTGAATTCAATCAATGTTATCTTTTCTAGATAAATCATGTACTACATCGGAATATGAGAAAGAACATACTGAGCTGCTAATGGTAAATTTCGATTGCTGATTGTCAAAGTTCGTATGAGAAAGAATAAAAACGATTGATAGTGAAGAAGCAATGAACAGCCATATTGAAACTCCTTTAGATGACAATCATAGCTAATTGAAACGTTTTCAAGACATCCACTGATAGTTCGATTAAAACATGTATTTAAATTGTAAAATACAATGATGAGATCAAACCAGGATAAACAACGACAAAGTTTAGGAATGATCTCATCGGAAAGACTTTTCTCAAAGGTTGATATTGACATTTAGAGAATAAAACATCTCATCTGAATAAGAATAGATAGAAGCATTATTGCACTGTTTGTGTTAGATGAAGGATATTTTTCCAACAGGCAGAATAGCAACACTCTTTCTTCTTTTTGTTGCTTGAGAAAAAAGAAAAAAAAATCTAGCAGCAGAGATCAAATAATATGCATGCTTGTTCTTTTTTTCACCTGTAACGTATATATACAGACGAATGAAATAATTATTATTTATGTCAATGCAATACATATACCCAAAGATGTTTTATGGATGTATGGTTGTGGAAATGGATGTATGAATGAGGGTTTGTTCTTCATCTGCACTCATACGAAGATCCACATTCCCAAGTTTTTGCTGTCAAATTGACCAATGGAGGAGAGCGCAAGAGAAATGAAATCGATTCACTCAAAAAATTTATCGCTTTCCCTAACCAGTCTGACCTGCATCATTCATGAAATACATATAAATATGCATTTTGCCCATTATATAAACTTGAATTTATCAATGGTAGCAGATTTTGAAAAGACAACCAGGATATCGTACGAAAAAGATTAATGCAGTGTTGTGTTATTAATTCTTATGTTTAATTAAAACTCGATTAGATGGTTTTGCTTGATGAAAAACTTATTCAAATAGAATAATCAATTTGAAAGCCGTGCAAGTCAGTGTGGATGTCAGCGGCGGTAGTACAATTCTTTCCTCAATGATCAAAGATTATTTGTTATTGTCTAATAAAACTAGCAAAACTTTTTGAATTTTTATTACTCCCATGGGATATTTTCTTATAACCCCTTCTCACTTACAATGTTGGGACCCTTGCGTAGCCCCTAAAAAACTCTTTTCTGTACGAAAACTAATTTTTGAATCATATTTACGATAAACTTTTTTCATAATACATTTTTCTGATTAAATATTCACACATTAATATGAGTACTGATATATGAATTATTATTCTGTTATTGATAAACAGTTCATGCAGTGAACTAATCCAATCCATACTTTACCCAATAATTAGCGGCATCTGTATTTATTTATTACGAATTTTTCTTGTTTAACATAGATTTTTCTTTGAAAAAAATTCAAAATGAATTATTTTTTAAGAATAAGTTATAATTTTTTACTCAATAGTAAACATTGTGATTGAGAAAGAAAGAAAAGAACAAATACTTGACTGAGAGGATTGAGAAAAAAAAAATAAATAGCATGTGATTTTTAATATTATGGAATAAATCTGATGTGTATGTTTTTTATTTTAATGATAACATGAACTTCTATCAAAAAACTAATATTGTATCATTTTAGAATAAAATTCAATCATTTGCTCGCGCGTGAAGCGCATGAGCATAACTTATTAATAATCAAATAATGTAATTATAGTCTTAGAAAAAAAAAGGTCAATATGCTAAAGCATAACAAGAATTTAATATAGTTGAAAGTTTTCTAGAAATCGTTCATGAGGAGGTAAATGAAAAACAAAGAATTTTTATAAACTATTTCAATTTGTTTTAGTCATTTTCAACTATCATTCTTTTTCAATATTATTAATGGCTGCCATACGTACATTTTTTAAACGTAATGTTGGTCAATATTCATCAAATAATAATAATTCAAATAATAGAACTACAACAGATTCATCAAGTGATACATCATCGTCAACAATAACTGAACGTATAAATAATCAAGTAAATTATGGTTGTAGTAGTACGTCAACATTAGGTGTTTTAACACATACTAATGGTGATTCACTACGACATCCTTTACTTAATATATCTGCAACAAAACATCATCGACGATTTTTATTACGTCTAATTCATAATTCAACAATAATGAATAAACAAGAAGAAGAATTGATTAATGAAAATACATGTTTACTTGATACAATATTACCGAAAGAACTCATTTTAAGGTAAACAAAATAAATTATTTGAAACAACTATACAGAATTTATGAATATCTCTATGAACTCTCTCAATATTATATTTCTTTTTGTCTACGTTGTCTATTTTACATTGAATTGATCATGGTACAAATCTACTATTAGTTTCGAGTCTAATACATATTCTTTGTTGATCTCGATTTCGATGTATTTTTCTTTTACTAATATGGATTCTCTTAAAACTTTCTACTAGTCATAGTTCATGAATATGTTTTTCATTGGTTTGATTTTGACAAAAATACTTTTATAAGGTTTTAATTCCAGAACGGAACATGTATAAGTATGCACACAAACATATTAGCGTGGTGTAAAGATTTTTTAATTTGTTTTTTTTTATACAACATTAGCTATTTTAATTATCTAATGCACTATAATAAGCATAGAAGGAAGTTTGTTGTTGATGACAGAATAAAGAATAATTTGACGCGTCATAAATAGAGCGCAAAATTGAAAGAATGATAAAAACAAATGATTCAAACTCAACGTAATTAATTTCGTTTTTTGTAATTGTTTCAGTGCCTCACTGAACGATGTCATCTATATTTTCCTATCGATATTTTGCAGTGAAATCATTTGGCTTTAGGTTAATATTTGTGGAAAAAGTTTGCGATTATGCTGTTGAATAATTATGAGAATTATTGTTATTATTATTATTATCTAAATTTTACTATAAAATTTATAGTTGCGTAGAACCGTCGAATCTGGATGTAGGGCAAAATTCGATACATACCATAAGTTTAATGGACTTTTATTATTTCGAAAAAAAAAAATATATAAAAACGAAACAAAATTCTTCTTTATTTTAGTATCTGAATCTAATTATCATTATAAATACTGAAATAGAACTTCTGAGGTCCATTATCAATCTAAATTCGACAAGTTTTATTGAAAGTGAGAATCCGAGTAGAAAACAATTCGGATTCGATTGACTCTATATTGTAGTTCTAGTCTCGATACATATTTTCTCCAAGTGAAATTCAATGAAAACTTAATACTAGCCCTATGATGATATTAGATTTCTCTTGACTTCGTTCACAACAGACATTCTTTCCCAATACCAGTTTTGATAGATATTTTCGATCGTTCTCAAAACTCGAAAAGTTTCTTTTTTGAGAACTTCTACAGATCTTTGAATGAAAACGAAATATATAGTAAATTATATTGATTGTTCTCAAATGTGAATATATTTATATTTTTTCTAGAATCTTTTCGTTTTTGGATTATCAATCACTTTGTCGATGTGCACAAGTATCAAAAGTAAAACCAATGACTTAACTGATTGTTTTCTTAAATTATGTATCTATTCTTTTTTTTTGTTGTTATAGTATTGGAATACACTTGCATTAGATGGTTCAAATTGGCAAAGTATTAATTTAAAAAATTTTCAACGTGATATTAATGTATAATAAAGATTTTGATTGATTATTTAATTCAATTTCTTTCTTTTTAAAGGGGAATGTCCTTGAAAATTTAAGTATACGATGTGGAAAATTTTTAAAAAGATTAAATATTGAAAATTGTAAATTTATTACTGATCATAATATGGGGTAAAAACAATTGTTTATTTATTTATTTATTTTTGTAAATGTTCTATTTCTAATGATTAGTATTGTTACAAATCATTGTCAAAATTTGGAACGATTAATTGTTAAACATTGTGACAAAATATCGAATACGTAAATAAAAAAAGATTTGAATTTTTTCATAAAATAAAAGAAATTAATTTTTTTTCTTGTGTTTTAGTACTCTATTTTATTTGAGTAGACATTGTCCTTATTTAAAACATATTAACATTTCATCATGTCATCATATTGATGATCAAGGAATTAAAATGATTTGGTAGAATTTTTATTAAAGAAAAATTTTTTAAGAAAAAAAAAACGTTTTCTTTAGTACAAGTTGTTCTTATTTGGAATCTTGGGATATATCATGGTGCATGCATATAACAGAGAATGGTATTCGAGTTGTAACTGAATCATGTTCAAAATTAACAACTTTTAAAGCTGAAGGATGTACTTATGTAAGATAAAACTAATAGAAAGAAGTTTTTTAATATAAATTGTTTAGATGACAAATAATGCAGCTATGCATCTTGGAAAAAATTGTTCCAAGTTATTATTTCTTGATTTAAATCGATGTTCTGTAAGAAAAACAAAAGCATTTTATTCTTTAAGAATTTTTTCTTTTTATTTTATTTTAGTCGTTAACAGATGATGGTCTTATTATATTAACTCAATATTGTCCATTACTTGAAACATTAATTATTGCTAATTGTACGAGTTTAACAGATCATACATTAATAGCACTTGGAAAATATTGTCATCAATTAAAGTAAAATTTGAAAATTACAAAGAAAATTTTGTTATGTTTGATTTTTAGAAAACTTGATGCAACTTTATGTTCACAATTTAGTGATGCAGGATTTTTAGCAATGGCTCAAGTAAGTTTTATATTTATTATAATTTGTTTTCATTGAGATATTATTATTTCTAGGGTTGTCATTTGTTACGACGAATTGATCTGGAAGATTGTACAGCTGTAAGCAAATATAGAATCTGAATATTTAAAAAGCAAACTTAATTTTTTTGTTGCAGATGGTGTGACGATATTTACACCTTTGAATCAAACCTTGAATATTTTTAGTGTTAGAGAAAAAATGAAAATTTCGACCGTGAAAAAGATTACATTGAAAACACTAAATTTTAAATAAAATAATTTCCAGCAAATTTTAACTGGTTTTCTTCTTAAGTGTTTCTTATTCATAAAATTTCTTTCTCTATTTCCTAACGGGTCAAATTTTAATTCGAAGTATCTTTTGATAACACTAAAAGTTGTTAATGCGTGCTTCAATAATTTCATATTGTCACATTATTTGCAACAAAAATTTGATAAAAAAAAGAAAGAAAAACTAGTAGGCGAAGTACATTAGGCACTATTTCATTTCACTGAATGCACTACGCCTATTAGTCATAATCATTTTTTTTTCGGAATCTTTACTCCAAAATATAATTATTTATTGAAATGGTTCATCTTCTTTTCTACAGATTACTGATGAAACAATAAGACATTTGGTTGATAATTGTCCAAATATTGAAAATTTCGTATGTTAAAGTCTTTATTAATAAAAGAATATAAAATATTATTTCTATAGACTCTTTCTCGATGTGAACAAATTACAGATGACGGTGTTCGTTATATTGGTTCGAGTGTTAATGCTCAAGAAAATCTTCGAGTACTTGAATTAGACAATTGTCCATCAATAACAGATATATCTATAAATCATTTACTTGCTTGTCAAAATCTTCAACGTTTAGATATATTTGATTGTCAACAAATAACAAGAAATGCTGTTAAAAGAATTCAAGTATTCTATTTTGATAATAACTAAATAAATAAATATAATCCAATGAGTTTTTAGATGCGTTATCCACATTTAAAAATTCATGCTTATTTTGCTCCTCAAACACCAACACCAACACCTCATCAAACAACAACATGTTCATTTTGTTGTTCTACATCATGTTCAGCTTGCGTACCTTCATGTTGTACAATCACTTAAAGTTATACACATATATTTATTTCCTTTTTGTTGTCTTTATCTATTCTATCTATAAGATGTCATTCTTCTCTTTTATAAAACAAACTTTTTGTATATTGATTCGGCAATTGTATGCTTTGCATTTATTTTTCTTTATATGAACACATACTTAAATTCATTCATTCAACAATCAGCTTTCTTCTTTTGTCTATTATTATAATTATTATTGTAACCTACTACTACTCTACGTCATTTTTTTCTCCTTCTTTTAATGTCAGTTTTCATGTATTTATTGCACAAAATCAGTTGTCTCTTGTTTTCTGCTTTCAGTTTTGTTTGTTTTGATACGGGAAGCCAAAAATAAATAGACTTATATTGACCTTAGGAGATGTTAGTAACAGAGAAAGCTTTCTAATAATATTCGAATTACATATATTGTGACAGTAAACAAAAATGATCATGAAATCATGAACATTATTTATCTATGATGATGTTTTTGTTTTTCGCATTATCTATTCTTTGTTGTTTTGTTTAGCAGCATTAATTCGAGATAACACAGTTAATTGCAAAGAAAATTCCGATTCTAGTTCTCATTCGAAAATGAGTCATTAAATAAACTCGGCAATAATGGACTTGATCAACATTAGCTTCCATGATTCTTCCATTAAAAAGTAAATATAGGCATTCGACTGTTATCATTCTAAAAGTAGAAAAAAATATGTCAAAAGAGATTTAGTATACATTGTGCTTCATAGATGCTATTTTTATTGTAATACATTCGTAGAAGACCGTGTCATTGGGTGTGATCGAATAGATGGATGGCTCGAGATAGTCATACGCTTCTGTGTCGACAAAGTGCGATACCAAAGAAAGATATTCTTCTCCACTGGCTACAAACCATCCTTTCTCTTCAAACCAAAATAGAGTACGAAAATGAATCGAGAGCTTGTCATTCTACTTCGAATAACATTTCAAAAACAAAATTAAACACGTCGAAATTCTTCGTCAAAGTTTGCCATCGTTGTTCATTGGCTAGATCCGTGTCACCTTTAACACGTACCACGACATGTTTGAGACGAGGCAGATTCGACAAGAGTCGTTTCATATCGATCATTGAAATATGGAGACCTACAAAAAGATCTTTTCATATAAACTGAACATGGTAATGGACAGAATATAGAAAGCTCGACAGTTGAGGGTTCGCAAATAGGGAGACAAGATTATGGAACTGATGCGGAATAGTAAAAGTCATTGCTTTGATTGATTACAAGAAGAAAATATTCGTCATTAATACGCAAAACGAGACGATTGAGGTTAGTGAACGGATAAAGGAATTCTGTGCTTGACTTATAACATTCTACCTTGATGTTGAGTGATTTGAGTTGCGGTGCCGTGGAACAAATGTATTTGAGTGTGTCAGATGAATATCGATCGAGTATCAAGCGACGAAGACCAGGAAATACAGTTGAATTCAAATAGTCCTCGTGAGCTAATTGTAGTCGATTCAAATGAGGTAACACTGGAGCGTAAATGTTAAACAGACGTCTATCAAGTTGAGTAACTATATCTCTTGATAAATTAGAGAACCAAGAATCGTTTGCCGATGGAATGATGTAAAGCAGTGAGCATAGATTATTCAGCTGCGCTAACTTTGAAAAAATGGGTTCCCACAAGTCAGGACCGATATCAATTAAAGTTAATGAACTCTTCAAGTCGAAAATGCGATAGAAACGACTCAATTTGACCAGGCGTATCTTTATCATAGGAAAGTGTCAATGCGATGACTTGTTTAGATGGATATGCATTGACAGACAAGATCAAAATTGATCCGATAAATTGATTTGAAGTTCACTCGATAGCACGGATAGGCCAGTAAAACACCATCAATGTAAGGACTCACACCAGAAAATATTCGAAAAATTTCATGACTTGAAAAATAGTTCAGGAGATTATGCACAATTTCTACGGGAAAGCTATCGAGTCGACATCTGATCATTGTAGAAGACAATGTTTACGAATCACATCAATATTTTCTCAACTTCATTACTCACCACATGTTAACAAAACGATCTTATTATGACATTTTTTTTTCGTAGGTTGCTTTTTTCAACGATGTCAGCGTTAATGACTAATGCAACAAAGGAAGAAAACATAAAAGAAAAAGTTATATGGCACCTCACACGTTGGACGAAATTTATTTTTCATGATGCAAGATGTGCGCTTTTACTCCTTGGTCAAACGATATACATGATTCACAAACGGACAGGATTACATATAACTAAATGTAAATTTGACTGTGTCTTCAAAATACTCTTCACTTTGGCTTATCTACCCAGCTTAAGGCATTCGAAAATGCAGTGATTGTCATTCATAAAAATGAAATCCATCAATGACTTATTTTTTTATTCTTCAAAATGCGGAATCTAGATTTATTTGGTCTTGAAGTCTATGAACAAGTTCCGACCATCGATAAGATGTAACTTTCATCCAGTCTTATCTGTTTATTTCGAAAAAATTTTCTGGAACTGAGTTCTTCTATTTATATTTTGATTGCTATGCTCTGCAAAGTAACGAATCCTTTTAGTCAAATCATTCCTAATAAGGCCAATTTATTTAGAGGAAATTCATTCTGCTGAAACAAACTGAGATTGTGTCTCAAAACCAAGTGTTCATTTTTCTACTCCATCACCACCTCCAATCTGCTTCTATGCCAACAAGCATAGCATCTTCTTCCAGATCGTCACATCTTTCCAATCGATTCTTGTGTGTGTGGGTGTGAATGTTGATAGAAACGAAAAAAATAATTAACATCTTCACCCACATCCTCAATACTACTATTTTCATTGCAATTGTGCGTCCATTGGCCAACACGCGATCAATCGACTACATCAATGGTGAATATCCACAAATACGCACCATTAACAGAAGAAGTTGATGGAGAAAACGATGAGTTTGGATTATATAAGTTAAAAAGAAATGATAGACTTGATGAGATAGCTTGAATTCGAATTGATGTTGATGTTTGATTCAAGCTGAATATCTCATGGTGACGATTAGAAATGTTCTGGAACAGAACAGACTTATAGTCAACTGCTTCGTCAAGATGATGATACAAAAATTTCCGAGTGGGGTGTGGATGTGAGTATTTCTCTTCCTAAGGGTCAGCCACGTCCGCACCCACACCTTTGTTCTACATCTGCTAACTTTAGTCAAAGCCCTTGTCTTCTAGCAGACTTGAAATGCTTACTTAATATTTTATCTTCTCAGATAACGACTGGCTCAATTCAATGAATTTCCTTCGAAACCGTATCTTACCAGGTAGAGTAAGAAAATAAGCTAAACTTTGCCTTATGGTTTGAACAGACTTTAATGGTGTATTCATGTCAGAAAATACAAATATTTCAGGAACTCGATAGAAATGATAAGCACTTATACAAATAATTATTTATCTGGATAAAGATAAAACCATCATCGCTGCTCATCAATGTTGTGAGAACAACATTTACACAATTCTTCATCGAAGAAACCATTCTTACGATACTTTATACTTCTTTGATTTTCTTAGAAAAAGTTGCTCAGGCAGACCAGTATTGCGCCACTAGTCCGCATATTTTCGTCATGGCAATATGTATTCGATCAGATTTGATCATCTACCTCTTGGTAAATTGTAATAAGCAATTGTATTTCATATCATACAGATCACGACATCTAGACTATCTCTACACTTTCCTCTTTCCTTTATGATTTGATCGACACGATATGTGTCAAGGCAATTCATATGCCGTGCTCTACACGGCTTGTCCGCGTAACGCGACACTTCGCTGATCAAGTTTTGAAAAAATTTTTTTTCGAGTTGGACAGATCTCATTGGACTATTAGATGCAGTTTTTTACGCTGATTACGAATTTGATATTGATTTAGCATAAAAATTAGATTTTGATATCAAAAATCGGATTTTAAAATTTTCAAAAACCGTATTTTGGGTTTTTTAACCAAGAAAGTTTTTCAACAAGGGCTAAGAGACATACCATTCGATGCAGAATTAAATTCTCTACAAAATGGTCTATTTAGTTTTGACTTTGGTAGCTTAGAATGGATTGAAAGCTTCGATAAGGTTTCCAACTTCCTGCCCAGTTTATAAGCTCTCAGATCGATGTATCAATCTCATTTTTTCAGAGGAGATTGTCTACTTATAAAACAGTAACAATTATAAAAATCAAGTAATTCCGAGTACACTAAGTGCCTCAAAATTGGTCAACAAAAAACTGTGTAACAGTGTTACGAAAAACGTAACAGCGTTACGTTTGTTTTTTGCATTTTTTATTTGAACAAAAATGTTTTAGAGAAAATCTTTTTTACTGCCTGAAAGTCTATTCAATGCTCTACAAAAGTGATTCTTGGAGCATTACATTTGAAGAAATGATTTCGCAAGAAATTAGAGTTTTCTCAGTGGCACTGGAAAAAAAGGGTCCTTTTATGTAACAGCGTTACGCCCTGATAAAACATTTCTAGATGCCTGAGACTTCAATCAAAAAAGGTCATTTTTATATGATAAATGAAGTTCGATAAGCTGCGTCGAATGACGTTTGAACGAACTTCCTAGCTCTTAAACTTTTCGAGAAAGTTGGAGAAGAGTATATCAAAAACGTAACAGCGTTACGTTTGGACAAGCCGTACATACATTCTAGTGAAGTTGCTTATTACAACTTACTAAGAGGTAAATGATCAAATCTGATCAAATATATGTTGCAATGATGAAAACATGCAGACTAATGGTAACATAGGTCTGCCAGAGCAACATCTTCCAGAAAATAAAAGAGAAAACTTTTGAGCGACATTCATATCCATCGAAGTTGTTCGTTCATTTTTGTACAAGTTAAGGTTTGAAAAAAGATGCCATGAAATTGTAATAAGATGGTGATTACTTAACACTAGTAAACAAAGTGCATATATGTAGAAAAACGCACAATTGTTTTTTTTGCTACGAGTCATATAATCAATTGTTTTACTCTTTCGGAATA